CCCCAGAAGCCCATCCCACCATAACTTCTTGTAGCACATGGGAGAGCCTCGTGAGCTGAAGACAGCCTCACTCAGCTGCACCTGTGCTCTGACCTGAGGTTGGCCTGCTTGGGGGGGTGGGGTGAAGAGTGGGGGTGGGGTGGGGCAGAACTTCTTGGTGTCCAGCAGCTGGGTGACAGTGGGATGGGGGCAGGGCCTAGGGGAGGGAGGGAGGTCTCCAGCTGCCTTTGTAGGTTTCAGTTTGAAGCCAGTGTGCAAACGGCCTCATCTGGGTGAAGTCCCCTGGGAACCTGGGATTTCTCTGAAGTGTTAGGCACCATTCTTCAGATGGCGGCTAATGCAGGGGAAGCAGGCGTGGGTCACATTGGCTCCTGGCCTGATCTGAGTCCCCTGGAGATGGGTGGAACCTGCAGTCTTCTGAGCCACAAGCTTCACAGCTGCCCTCTGACTGGCACCCACATGGAAGGGCCTCTGAACTGATGAAGGGAGGTTGAGTCCGTGAGCCGCTAACCCAGGGTTGTGTGTCTGCAGAGTGCCCGCCTATTGGGATGGAATCACACCGCATTGAGGACAACCAGATCCGTGCCTCCTCCATGCTGCGCCATGGCCTGGGAGCGCAGCGGGGGCCGGCTCAACATGCAGGTGAGGGAGTGGACTGTCCAGCCTGCAGTGGGCCGGGGCTCCCCTGCCCGTGCTCAGCCTCCCCTTTAACAGGCTGGCGCTAATGAAGACGACTATTATGATGGGGCCTGGTGTGCTGAGGACGAGTCGCAGACCCAGTGGATCGAGGTGGACACCAGAAGGACGACTCGGTTCACAGGCGTCATTACCCAGGGCCGAGATTCCAGCATCCAGTATGTAGATGGGCTCTTAGGCAGTGGGCAGGGGCTCCAGCACAGCTCTGAGTCCCACTTGGGACATTCTAGATAGCCCTTGACCTGAACTGGAAAGGCCAGGAAAATCAGTGAGGGGCCGATCATGCACCTGGCCCCCAGTCCACGGCTAGTCAGTCTGCATGTAAAGATGGACAGTGCAAGAGCCACTGCCCATGGCCAGACAGACTCTGGCTCCAGAGCTCCAGGCCATGCTCCACAGCCCTGCTCCAGGCTCAGAAGTTTGTCTCAAGGCCGTAGAGCCTTGGATGAGAGCAGCTTTGCCTTGACTGTGTCTGCTCCACAGTGACGACTTTGTGACCACCTTCTTCGTGGGCTTCAGCAATGACAGCCAGACCTGGGTGATGTACACCAACGGCTATGAGGAAATGGTGGGTGCCCAGGTCTTCTGCCTGGCTCTCATTGTCTGGGCCAGGGTGGACTCTTGGGCGAGCGGGGTACCCACACAGAGGCCTGCTTCTGTCTAGACCTTCCATGGGAACGTGGACAAGGACACACCTGTCCTGAGTGAGCTCCCCGAGCCAGTTGTAGCCCGTTTCATCCGCATCTATCCTCTCACCTGGAACGGCAGCCTGTGCATGCGCCTGGAGGTGCTAGGCTGCCCTGTGACCCGTGAGTGAAGAGGGGCTGGCTGTGGCTTTGGGTGGCTGCAGTGGGATTTGGGTGTGGAGCCAAGGGCAGCTGATTCAGGCCCGGTACACCTGCTCTTCTGCAGCTGTCCACAGCTACTATGCACAGAATGAGGTGGTAACCACGGACAGCCTGGACTTCCGGCACCACAGCTATAAGGATATGCGCCAGGTTAGGAGCCTGAGTCACAGGCCGGGGTGGGCCCTGTGCTGGGGTACGAGAGCTTATCCTCAGCCCTGTCCCTACTATTTCAAAGGCATACTCTCCCTTCAAGGAATGTTGGCCACCTCTTACGTTAGGGAAGGAACCAGTACCTGGGGGCATCGGAGGGACGGGAGTTACTTGCCTCCTCCCATAGAACCCATCAGGAGCAGGAGGATGCTGGTCAGTGACATCCCAATGTCTCCTCCCTGCCAGCTGATGAAGGTGGTAAATGAGGAGTGCCCCACAATTACCCGCACATACAGCCTGGGCAAGAGTTCACGAGGGCTCAAGATCTACGCCATGGAGATCTCGGACAACCCTGGGGAGCACGAGCTGGGTGAGGGCCTGGGGACATTGTTTTGCCAATGCCTAGAGTACCAGGGTCCCTGAACTGCTTCCCTCCTGCGGGGCCTGTACAGTTGATATACAGCACTCACCATCTCCTGCCTGACCTGTGGACCCCAGGGGATCCAGGCCTGCCTTCTGAGTACCAAAAGCCTCAGCTGCCCCCCAGACCTTATGGGTACATCTGGGCCTTCCCAGGCTAAGTGCCTGCTCTGGCTCCTATCTTTGCAGGGGAGCCTGAGTTCCGCTACACAGCTGGGATCCATGGCAACGAGGTGCTAGGCCGAGAGCTCCTGTTACTGCTCATGCAGTACCTGTGCCAAGAGTACCGAGATGGGAACCCCAGAGTGCGCAGCCTGGTGCAGGACACGCGGATCCACCTGGTGCCTTCACTGAACCCTGACGGCTATGAGGTGGCCGCGCAGATGGTGGGTTGTGGGGCTGGCAAGGGGTGGGTAGAGACTGGAGGCATGGGTGGTCCTTCCCTGACTTCGCACCCCATAGTCACCTATGTATGGTCTTCCTTGCAGGGCTCAGAGTTTGGGAACTGGGCACTGGGGCTCTGGACTGAGGAGGGCTTTGATATCTTTGAGGACTTCCCAGATCTCAACTCTGTGCTCTGGGCAGCTGAGGAGAAGAAATGGGTCCCCTACAGGGTCCCCAACAATAACTTGCCAATCCCTGAACGCTACCTGTCCCCAGATGCCACGGTGAGAAGCAGGTCTTGGCATGCCAAGCAGCTGGGGTAGGGTGGGGGATTGCTGATAGGTAGCTGAGGTGTTGGCATTGAGATCCTGGAGGACAAGAAGAATCAGAGGGACGTGGATAGGATGTGGGAAGTATAGCACTAGCGTGGGACTCCACAGATGGAAGGGGACATGGCTTCTTATGACACCCGTCCCTAGGTGTCCACAGAAGTCCGGGCCATCATTGCCTGGATGGAGAAGAACCCCTTTGTGCTGGGTGCAAATCTGAATGGTGGTGAGCGGCTTGTGTCTTACCCCTATGACATGGCTCGGACACCTAGCCAGGAGCAGCTGCTGGCGGCAGCCATGGCGGCTGCCCGTGGAGAGGATGACGAGGAGGCATCCGAGGCCCAGGAGACTCCAGATCATGCTATTTTCCGCTGGCTGGCCATCTCTTTTGCCTCTGCCCATCTCACCATGACTGAGCCCTACCGGGGAGGGTGCCAGGCACAGGACTACACCAGCGGCATGGGCATTGTCAATGGGGCCAAGTGGAATCCTCGGTCTGGGAGTAAGTCAGCCTGGGAAGAGCTTGGGAAAGGCCTGTGACCTGGGGAGGGGATGACCACGGGTCTGCTTTTGTCTGTCCAGCTTTCAATGACTTTAGCTACCTGCACACTAATTGCCTGGAGCTCTCTATTTACCTGGGCTGTGACAAGTTCCCTCATGAGAGTGAGCTGCCCCGTGAGTGGGAGAACAACAAGGAGGCGCTGCTTACCTTCATGGAGCAGGTGGGACAGCCTGGGCTACCAGGAAGAAGATGGAGCTTGGGAGGAGTGTGGACGTGGAGTCTCCATGTGGGCTCATACCCCTCTTTTGCAGGTGCACCGTGGCATTAAGGGTGTGGTGACAGATGAGCAAGGCATTCCCATTGCCAATGCTACCATCTCCGTGAATGGCATCAACCATGGAGTGAAGACAGGTATTCTGCCTGTTACCCCCCCGCCCCCTTTTATAAGGGTCGACATGTACCTCTGGCTGGCCTAGAACTTCTGTATAGTCCAGGCTGGTCTTGAATTCACAGCCCTGCCTTGAGTACTGAGATTACAGAGCTAGTGTCATGACGCCTGGCTCATGTGTGGACAGCTCTGCCTTCCCAGGTGGGGCTCACCTTGTCCTCCCAAAGTAGTAGTAAGTCTCCCCAGGTAGCAAGGCAAGCCTGGGGAGATCTCTGAGGACTGGGCCTGGGGGAATCTGAGAGGGCAGAGCTGGAGTGGCCCTGGGACAATCGGGCCTATCCTCTTTATACAGCAAGTGGGGGAGACTACTGGCGCATCCTGAACCCTGGTGAGTACCGTGTGACGGCCCACGCAGAGGGCTACACCTCCAGTGCCAAGACCTGCAACGTGGACTATGACATTGGGGCCACCCAGTGCAACTTCATCCTGGCTCGCTCCAACTGGAAGCGCATTCGGGAGATCCTGGCTATGAATGGGAACCGGCCCATCTTCCGCATTGACCCCTCACGACCCATGACCCCCCAGCAGCGGCGCATGCAGCAGCGCCGTCTCCAGTACCGGCTCCGGATGAGGGAACAGATGCGGCTGCGCCGCCTCAATGCTACCACAGGCCCTCCCACAAGCCCCACCCCTCCCCCTACACCTCCCTCTTCCCCTACACCAGGAGTTACCTGGAGACCCTGGGAAACTACCACTGCAGGCTGGGAGGAGTCCGAGACTGAGACCTACACAGAAATAGTGACCGAGTTTGGGACCGAGTATGGGACTGAGCTGGAGGAGGAGGAGGAGATGGAAGAGGAGGAGGAAAAGGAGATGGTCACGGGCCCCACGTTTCCATTCACAACAGTGGAGACCTACACAGTGAACTTTGGGGATTTCTGAGACTGGGATCCCAACGCCTGGCCTAATTCCAACTAAGACAGCCCTTCTCAAGTCTGTGCTGGCTGACACATAGCCGTCAGAGGTCCCCTGGACAGGCCCTCCTCCCCCAGTGTGGGACAGCAAGGCCACCAGGACTCCACAGCCAGAGTCTATGCAGAAGCTCCAGTTCTACCTGCCAGCCTTTGGGGAGGGGCAGGCAAGGAAGCCACGGTCACATCAATAAAACAAGCTCAAGGCACCAACTGCCCTGTTCTGCCCGCCCAGTGGGAGAGAAGAGTCTGGCTGGCTGGGGGCTCTCCCTGTCAGTGCCATCCCACACATGCCCAGAAGCTCCAGGTGCAGACCTGTAAAAATTCATGGTTTATTTACAGGGTTCATTCACGTGGCAAGGGGGAATGGCCCAGCTGCCTCTCATCAGGGACCCAGCCCCAGGTCTTCCAGCTCATCGTGTTCTGCTCCAAAGCCTGCAAAGCTGATAGGCTGGCAGGCCAGGCTGCGTAGGTTCACCAGGCAGGCAGTCTGTGTGGAACTAAAGTCAGGAACGGCCACCAACAGTACCACCTGGTCCTCAGGACCTGCAAGACAATCGTACGGGGCCCACCTTAGGTTCTGGTAGGACTGCCTCACAGGGAAGTCCCCACAGTTGCGCCATGTGCTCAGATCCATCTCAGACCCTCTCCAGGCAGCTCCACCACACACCAAACACAAAGGCCACTGCACAGACTGTCCTGCGGGGACCCTTGTACCCAGGTGAGGCAAAACTGTTCCTGACAACTCAGGCCGGGAGCCCCCCAAAGATAAAACTTACCTTGGATGATTTTGGAGCCAAAGCTGGGGGTGTTGCCACAGAAGTAGACATGAGGGCACTCCGGAAAGATGAACGGGTCAGTTTTGTAGAAGGGGTAACACCCTGGAGAAAGGCCTGTTGTTGAGCAGCTGCCCATTAAGATGTCCCCTCCCTCCCTGAATGCTACAGCATCCCAACTGTGACAGAAGTGCCCTGTGGTCACCCAGCACCACTAGGGGTTGTACAGGCTTTGGCTCTGGACAGAATTGATTGCAGTGGCTTCCAGAACAGCTTTGCTGAACATAAGGCTGGGCTGGGCCATCCCAGCACGCTTGGTCCCACAAGTGTAACTGAGCAGATATATACCTAGGGTGTCCGGAGCCGTGGGGCTGATGTGACGGACCCGCAGGGTCCACTCTAGGATCTCTAAGTGGTCTTCCATGCTGCTGTACCGGAAGATATCACTCACATTCTGTCCAGACGTCCCCAGGAACCTGAAAGGGAAAGGGCTCTGCTGATTGTGGTCTTGAGGGGGCGGCTATCACTGCCACCCCACCCACAAAGACTCTCTCAGCACCTACCCGATGGCCTCTTGGGGGTGCTCTAGCCAGTCTTATAGGGTAGATAGACACCAGGAGGGCCTTCTGCAGTCCCGGCCCCTCCCAGACTTTGTCCCCACGTCTTGTACCATGCTGACTACCTGACTCCATCAATGGTGGCTTGGTATGGGTTGGTGACCAGCTGGAGTGTGGAGTAGGCAGTGGCCAGTGGGAACATGCAGGGGTGCAGGGGCTGCTGCGGGAGTGTGTAGTTGGTGGGATCAAACTCGCCTGGCATCACATCCACAGGTACTGAGGCCTGGAAGGCACAAGGCAGGGGGAGCTCGTCTGCCTCAAGAGACCCCTACCCCCTACTCTGCCCACCCTATCTTCCCTTCCCCATCCAGCAGCAGCATCAGCAGCTGGATTTTCACAGCCCCTCCAGTCCCCAAGCCGCTCACACTCAGCTGCAGGAGGATCTCATCCAGCATTTTGACTGCTTCCACACTGGCTGCCTGGGTTTTCTTGGTGAGGTACTTGGCCTGGGAGAAGAGACCCAGGATGTGGTAGGGCTCTCAGTGAGGCTCTGATTAGGGGACACCCAGAGCCCATCAGGGTCCTTGGCTCTGAGAAAGGCAAAGGCCAGCGGCAGGTACATCTACTTGCTGAAGGGTCGACAGGGGGTGGAACTCCGCCCTGGCCCCCATGCCTTCAGGGAGTCGGGGACAGCCCTGGAGCAGCAGGCCCAGTCATGCTAACAGGCCAGGGCTGAGTCGTTGGGAGGACTCCATACCTTGTTGATAGAATCTCTGCTCTGGGTGTTGTGACTGAGGAGGTTGCCTGCCAGGATGACTCGGGAGACATGGGCGGCACTACACTGTTCGCCTTCGTCCCCAAGCTGCCCCGTCACCACATCCACCAGCAGCTGGGTGCCCAGGAGGCTCTCGCCACCACCTCCGCCCAGGCCCAGCCCGGATACCAGCAGCACAAATCTGCAGAGGATGGTGAGGTCTTGCAGGTTGCTGGAAGGGGGAGGCGATTCCTCCCAACAGAGACACTGGGGTGCCTGAGTGTGGCTCCTCACCTGTCTGTGTCAAGTGGGGGTATAGGCTTCTGGGGAGCCAGGTCAGCAAAGCAGTGGTCCTCAACCTGAAACCTGCCATCGTCTCTCACGGAGCCAAACACTGCCAAGACCGTTCCTGAGGGAGGGTGGAGGCAGAACCCCAAGGTAGCCTCTGAAGGTCTCCTACCTCCTAGCCACCCCCCAGCCACTCCAGCAAAGCCTCGATTAGATGTCTCCTCAGGCTCACTGCTCTTGAATGGAGACAGAAGACTGATCTCCCAGAGGATCATCCGTGGACAAGCAGCCTCTGACCACGTGAACCCACAGCTACTTCCCAAGACTCTAGCGTAGCAGCCTTTAACGCACGGGCCTCCCCATACACACCTTGCTGGGTCTCCCACAGCCACCCTCCTTTCAGGGTCCCCACCACTCCCACCTGTGACCAACTTCGACACATCGATGGTGCCTTTCAGTTTGATACGCTGCAATTCATCTTCTAAGACCAGCTCATCATCTGGGTGGATGTATTTGCTCCGAGGAGGCTGGGGGATCAGGTTGTGCTGGGAGGCAGAAGGAAGGGAGTCTCAGAGCCCAGGTTGCCATAGCTCCCGTGTTAGGAAGTGGCACCATAGTCTCTGCCTGCCTGGGTTGGCTTTCTTACCCCCTATAGTCAGAGGCCCAGCCTCAATCCACTGGGACAAGGTTGGCACGTCAGGGGTGATAGGGCTCACCTCCTCGCTGATCTCCCGCAGGATGGAGGGCTGGAGCGGCATGGCTTTGAAGAGAGTGCCCACCACACAGCACTGTTCCCCAGGCTGCAGCTCACACAACTTCTTCACCCCGACTCCACTGCCTGGGTGTGAGGGCACAGAGTCAGACTATGAAGGCCCACCCTGATGACACCCCCAGTGGACCTTGCTGCTCAGCCTCTACCACAGGACATTTACTGGGACTCACAGGAGTGCTGCTCCCCTGGCCTTGGCCAGGAGCGAGAGCATGTTAAGTGAAGGTTCCCTGGACCTCAACGTGATGGTGAAGGGGGTCCATCAGAGGGGATAGAGGGACTGTGGGTGGATGGAGTGGGACCTTGATGCCAAACATCTACAGAGGCAGGGAAGGCCAGGGGCCAGGCTATGTGAGGACGGGAAAAAGACTGGAGTGGGTCAGGCACAATCCCGGGACTCCTGGAGCCACCAGAAAATGGAAGGATCTACCCTAAAGCCTCTTGAAGGAACCAGCCCTGCTGACAACCAGATTTCAGACTTCTGGCCTCCAGAACCACAGGGAATAAATATGTGTGTTGTCCTAAGTCCCCTGTTTACAACACTTCTTTACCATGACCACAGGAAGCAACTATGAAACACATTATCTGCATCTCAGTCACATGCTACGTCCTGACAACTACCATGTCCTTAAGACTTTGGATTCTTTTTTTTTTTTTTTCAAGACAGTGTTTCACTACATAGCCCTGGCTGTCCTAGAACTCACACTGTAGACCAGGCTGGCCTCAAACTCACAGAGATCCACCTGCCTCTGCCTCCCAAGTGCTGGGATTAAAGGTGTGCACCACCATGCCCAGCTAAGACTTTGGATTCTTATGTGCCAGCCCCTGCTCTGCCCAATGCTTCATTCTCTGAAAATATACCTTACAATTCCCACTTCCCGTCCCCTCCACCTCGGTCCACTCTATCCCCTGTGGAGTCGGCAGCCTTGCTCATTCAAAGCCCCCAGGAGGCAAACCAGAACATATGTGAATGGCCTTTATGCTCAGCAGGAACGATGTGGAAAGCTGGGCAAGAAGAAGGAATGCAAGTTCCAGAAAGTTCCAGGGATTCATTAGCACAGACCCAATCCTAGAACAAATTGCTGAGGAGGCAGGGTGAAGTGGAGGCTGGGCCAGAACCACACTCATGCCCCGGAACAGCCAAGAACATTCCTCAGAGCTCCACCCAGGGGAGCAGACAATTCCACAGAAGGAAGAGGGACTCTAGCACGAGAGAGAAGCATCAGATGCCAGTAGAAACAAGTTTCCAGATCCCCACCTGTGGCTCTGCTATGGTTTGGGTGTGGTTCATCCCTCAAAGACCAGCCTGCCATAATGAGGGGCTCTCTAGCGAGGGTGGGCAAAGAGCGACTAATTTGCATTGAGGACAGGAAATAGCTGCCATCACTGCCAGAACTCGGTCTTTACCTCAGACCAGCCTCTGAGCCACCTAACTTAAATCCCACAGGTTAATTTAATCCTCTCTCTCTCTCTCTCTCTCTCTCTCTCTCTCTCTCTCTCTCTCTCTTTCTTTTTTGTTTTTTTCGAGACAGGGTTTCTCTTTGTAGCTTTGGTGCCTGTCCTGGATCTTCACTCCGTAGACCAGGCTGGCCTCGAACTCACAGAGATCCTCCTGGCTCTGCCTCCCAAGTGCTGGGATTAAAGGTGTGCACCACCACCACCACCACCACCACCACCACCACCACCACCACCGCCCGGCTTAATCCTCATTATTATCTTAAGAAGTAACAGAGAGCTGAAGAGGCTAAGTTTCCACGGTAACTGCAAAGTGTTAACAGGTTAGAGAAAAGTCCGAGGTCTAGGTGCTGGGCTGCTGGGAGCAGCATACCCCAAGCTTACCCCAGTGCTGCTGGGCCCGGCTCACCAGGAAGGGTCTCATCTGGATGAGGCGGGTGGCGTATATGTGAGCATACTGCCGGCTAAAGCTGCGCTCTCCCAGTCGAAAGGGCTGTGAGGAGTTGGTGTAAGTTGCAACAGGTACCCGGGCAAAGGTGGCATTGCTGGCCGATGGTGGGGACAGCAGAGTGTGGGCCCTCTGTGCCGCCTGCTCTGAAAACATGGCAGCACTCCTGGCTTGTTCTGTCCAAGCAGCTGTGTCCAGGCTCAGGAGCATCACTGTAAAGACACACACAGGCATCCCTGCAATTCCTACTTGAACCCGGAGAGGCAGGTGTCGTTCCCCCCCCCCAAGTGTCTCAACCGAGCTGCCCACACTGCAACCAATGGGCACCGAGAAAGAAGGGGAGCATACGTGTATCTGGAGATGTCATCCTGTAGCCTTAATCAGAAAAAACCTGGAGCTCACTCCAAACCTTGTTCATCAAGTTCTCCATATTTCTACCCAATTACCAGGGTCTCAAATTCAACATACCCTCAAATCGAATTACTGATCTGCCTTCATCCACTTCCCTGGAAACTACCCCACCTCTGGGAATGCTGCCAGGCATCAAAGAAGCCTGCCACAATATACTTAGTGATAAAAATAAAACATAAAGTTGTCCCTGCTCTGCTCAAGACTCTCCAATGGCTGCTTTTTCAGTAAATAGAGACCCACGTTCTTAATACTCCCTGTAAGATCAGCTCTGGGCCCGCTGGTCCTTCCATCCTCACACCTGTTTGTTTCTCTTTCCAAGTATCCCTTCCACAGCAGGGGCTCCAGCGGAGGCCCGGCTACTCTAGGCTGGCTCTTCTCCTGTGTGCCCCCCAGATTCACTGGCTCTTCCCCTTCAAGTCTCTCCTCAAAACTCACCTCCCCACATCTAATTTACTCCCTCTGCCACTCCAATTATTGGCATCGTTTGCCTTCCCAAGCATTTACTTTGCCTCCTCCAAATGCACCCTAAGTTCCAGGAAGGCAGAGGGTTTTGTTTTCTTCCAGGAGGTATTGCACAACCGCCCCACAACGAGTCCGATTAAGATGTGCTCGGGGGATGCACAGAGAGTTTCAGTAAATAGTATAGAGTGCTTCAACATATTTTTCATGCGTAGGTAAAATGACAACAGTCTGGACACTGTAAGTTCTTAACACAGCTTTCTTTTCATTTTACTTTTTTGGTACTGCTAATACAAAGTTCCAATTCTTGCTAGCTGGCTCTGGCTTAGGACTCAACGAATTTGCCAAAGGGGCGCGTGTGAAATGTAAGCCAAACACGCACGGTGGTGGGCAGCGGCCCACACAGTGCCCCCCAGCCACACGCGGCGGGCCACCCGCCCCGCAGCAGACACCTCCAGCTCGGGCACACTCAGCAGTCCGTAGCACCATCGAGACCCCGGCCCGCGACCCCAGGAGCCCCCAGGCGGGCCCAGCACCCACGTTAACCCCGCTCGGCAGCACACTCACCGCGCCGCGCCGCATCCCGCCAATCTCCGCGCGCCCGTCCCGCCCACCGGCGCACCCGGCCAATCGTCTTCCGCTTCGCCCCGCCCATCGCCGCACGCTTCATCCGGCCAATCCCCGTGTGCCCCGCCTCTGGAAGCCGAGGGAACACGGAGCCACGCCTCCGGTTGCTCGGACAACGTACTCCCCCCCCCCCCCCCGCTCCCCACTCTCACCCTAGGTTTCCTGCGCATGCGTGGGTTTGCCGCTGGGCCGCACAGCGTGAGCGTGTTGGGTAGGGTGGGCCGCTGTGAGGCTCTCCACTCGGCTCGTGTCGCAGTCCGCAATCGCTGGTGGCTTGGTGGCTTCTGGGTGGATGAAGCTTCCCTCCCACGTTCTATCCTGCGCTGGGATTGTCATTCTGGCTTCATAAGGCCCGTCCTGTCAAGCAGCCCGTACTAATCTGTGCAAGCTAGCCGCTCCTCTGAATTCTCAGGCCTTACCTGTTTCTCAGATTCCCTTTGAAGCATGAGCTCGGCTCCCATCTCACAGGCAGGGAAACGGAGGCAAGGAACACTCAGCCGGCTAGTGAACCAAAGCTGGGATTCACACTAACACACCCTGACTGACTTCAAGTGCAGCAGGCTTCCGTGGTAACATATTGTACTTTTTCATTTTTTCCCGGCTAATTACTCAGGCTGAAACTTAGTATTTAAGGTAGCTTTCTTCTAACTTGATGAGTTTTTTGTTTTGTTTTTCATTGTATGTGTATGGGTGTTTTGCCCTCATGTATGGTTGTGCCCTACATGAGTGCAGCGTCCTCAGAGGCCAGGAGAGGGCTTGAAAGGCCCTGAACTGAAGTTACAGATGGTTGTAAGCTGAGTATGAGTGCTGGGAATCCTTCTGGAAGAGCGACCGGTGCTCTTAACTACTGAGCCATCTCCCCAGCCCCTGGCTTGTTTTGGTTTTTTAGTGGATCTATTTATTTAAATTATGTGAATGCATGTGTGTCTGTGTGTGGGTCTGTGCATGTGAGTGCAGGTGGCCTCAGAGGACAAAAGAGAGTGTGGGATCCCCTGGAGCCACTCAACAGTGGGTGCTGGGAGCCCAGCGGCAGCTCTCTGAAAGAGCAGGAAGTGCTCTCACCTGAGTCCTCTCTCCAGCCTCTTCTTCCTGCTTTAATAATATTTTAATAAACCGGGTGGTGGTGGCACACGCCTTTAATCCAGCTCTCAAGAGGCAGAGGCAGGCGGATCTCTGTGAGTTCGAGGCCAGCCTGGTCTACAGAGAGAGTTCCAGGACAGGCACCAAAGCTACACAGAGAAACCCTGTCTCGAAAAACCAAAAACAAAAAAAATAATAATAAAAGGTGCTGGAGAGATGGCTCAGCGGTTAAGAGCACTGGCTGCTCTTCCAGTGACCTCTTTCAGAGGTCCTGAGTTCAATTCCCAGCAACTACATGGTGGCTCACAACCATCTATAATGAGATCTGAGGCCCTCTTCTGGCCTGCAGGCAGACATGCAGGCAGAACACTGTATATGTAATAAATAAATAAAATAATAATATTTTAATAATTTGTTTTTAATATTTCACTTTGTCAAATACTCTTTCCTATGTAATTTGGGGTGAGTGTGTGGGGTTTTGGCCTGCTGATTCAAGTAGTCTGTGGCATTTTAAAATATTATGTTGAAACATTGTTGTATTCCAGGGACAAACCCCATTTGCTGGCTGTAGAAACTAGTGAGTGGAAGTAGAACCCAGAGTTATAGTAACACTCAGCTGTCGAACTGCTTGTCTCCCTCTGCTAGAGGTGCTCATTTGGTTTTCAGTTGCTGTCTACCAGCGCTGACTTCAACCCTCAGAACTCTCTTTAGTATTTCCTGCAGTAGACGTCTACTGGTAATGAACTCCATTAAATCCTATCTGTGAGTTGTTTTTTTTTTTTTTTAAAGATTTATTTATTACAGATACACTGTTCTGTCTGCATGTATGCCTGCAGGCCAGAAGAGGGCACCAGATCTCCTTACAGATGGCCGTCAGCCACCATGTGGTTGCTGGGAATTGAACTCAGGACCTCTGGAAGAGCAGCCAGTGCTCTTAACCTCTGAGCCATCTCTCCAGCCCTCTGTGAGTGGCTTTATTTCTACTTTTTCTCGAGACAGGTGTCATATATCTGGTGTAGAACTCACAGTGTAGCCAAACAGGACCTTAAACTCCTGATTTTTCTGCCCACACCTTCTGAGTGCTGGGATTACAGGCATTGCCACCACCCTGAGTTTTGTGAGGTGCTGGAGACTGAACCCAGGACTTTATGCATACTAAGCAAGCACTCTGTCTGCTGAATTACGTTCCCTCACTGTACTCCTACTTTTGTTGTTTTTGTTTTGAGTCGGGTATCTTGCTAATCTCCAGTTGTTAGCTTCTGCCTCCAGAGTGCTAGGACTACAGCTGTTCTAGTCAGGTTTCTATTGCTGTGCTAAACATGACCAAAAGCGACTTGGGGAAGAAGGTTAATTTAATCTGATAGGTAAGTCAGGGCAGGATGGATATGTGGCCACCTTGATGGTGTTCACACATCTGGGAGGATCTGTTCACTTTAGCATTTTTTCTGTTTCTTAGATTTTTTTTTCTTCTAAAAATTTTTATGTGTATAAATGTTTGCCTGCATGTATACCTGTGCACCATGTGCATGTAGTGCCCTCAGTGGCCAGAAGAGGGCATCAGACCCCCTGGAACTGGAGTTACCATGTGGGTGCTGGAACTGAACCCAAGCCTCTAAAAGAGCAGTTAGTGTTTTTAACTGTTGAGCCATCTCTCCGGCTCCCTATCCCTTACGTTTGATAATTTTATCTGATTTTCACCTTTGCTGTTCTTTATTGTCCCTGCTCAAATTACCTTAAACTCTGAGGCTACTAAAGGTTTCGTTTTAATTGGATTTTTCAGCTTCAGAATATTTTTGCTATCTAAAAAATCAGCTTAAAAGTTTTCTTTTGGTCTCTGCTCCCATTTGGTTGTACTGTGTGCATGTATTTGACTGTGTGCATCCTCACTCAGCTCATCTAATCATCGTTAATACAGTTGCTTCAAAGAATTTGTCTATTTGTCAGCCATCTGGCCTCTCTCTGGATATGTGTCTTTCCACCCCCTCATGATCCCTGAACCTTTCTGGTATGAATTTTATTGACTTTCCCCCTTTGAATGGTTCATACTGTCCTGTTTCTTTTATACTTTGTGATTTTTAATTTAGGGGTGGGGTCGAAAAAAATTATTATTTTTTTTTTGGTTTTGTTTTGTTTTTGAGGCAGAGTTTCTCTGTGTAGTTTTGGTGCCTGTCCTGGAACTCGCGTGCACCACCACTGCCCGGCTGAAAACTCCTTTTGATGTTTCTGTGTAATATTTTTTAAATTAGCATATGAAATAGTGTCTCATTATGGCATTTTCATACATAAGTGTCATTATACTTTGTATTTTTTTTTTCTTTTTGAAACAAGGTCTCCTATGTAGGCCTGGCTGTCCTGGATCTCGCTCTGTAGACCAGGCTGGCCTCGAACTCACAGAGATCTGCCTGCCTCTGCCTCCCGAGTGCTGGGATTAAAGACGTGCGCCTCCCCATTGTTATTCATCTGTTTCTCTTGCTCTTCTTTCCCATCCTCCCTGTCCCTCTCTTTCTGGTCTCTTTCCTCCTCACTTGTGTGTTCACGTTAGGTGTGTCATGTGACCCTCTCTTTCTTCCCTCCCTTACCCGTCTCTGATATATAAAAACTGAGCATTTGGACCCCACAATCAGAAACTCTAGAAGTCCAGGCTGGAGAGATGGGACAGCAGTTTAGAGTTCTTGCCGACCCTGCAGACGACTCGGGCTTGGTTCCCAGCACCCTTTAAATCATTCCCTTCGCTGTGACACATGGCTCACTCAACAGCAAGACTCCTATCACAGACCCGGAGGGTCCCTGACAGGCGTGGTCCCCAAGGAGGTGCTGGTGAAGACAGTGGAAACTTCAAGAGGTGTGGGGTAGGAAGATAAGATACGCCCGGGCCTTTTCTCTCCCTTTCTTCTCACCTCCTCGCTGTGAGGTGAGCTGTTTGGCTCCATTGTACATTTCTGCATGGTACATTGCCTTGTCTAAGAGCAGTAGGGCCACAGATCATGAGCCTGCACTTCTGAAACCAAAATTTAAAATAGACCTTCTTTCCCTCACTGCCCTCCCAGGGTCTCACTGTGTTGCCAAGGCTAGCCCCCAAGTCCCAGGCTCAAGCACTTCTTCCGCTAATCTTCGGAAGTAGCCAGGGCTGTAGGTGTGTGCCTTTGTTCAGACTAAGCCTTTTCGTAAATTGATTATCTCAGGTATTTGTTACTGTGCTGGGAAACTGTCTGAGGGGTACAGGCTTGGTGTGTGGGGTACTCAGTGTCTTAGTTAGTGTTCTGCTGCTGTGAGAAGACACCATGACCAAAGCGACTCAGAAAAGAAAGCATCGGGGGATTGCTTACGGTTTCTGAGGGTTATTCTGTTTCCATCATGGTAGAGAGCATGGCAGCAGGCAGGCATGGCCTGGAGCAGGAGCTGAGAGCTTACGTCTGATCCACAAGCAGAGGCAGAGAGACTGGGCCTGGTGTGGGTTTTTTGAAACCTCAGAGCCCACCCCCAGTGACACCTCCTCCAGTGAGACTCCTACCCCTTCCCAAACAGTTCACTAACTAGGAACCAAACATTCCAATGTATGAGCCTGTGGGGGGCATTCCTATTCAAACCACCCCAGGCAAGGAGTTAGGGAATTCCAAGAGGAGGTAGAGTCCCTAAGACATGTCTTAAACTTTGAAATGTGGACATTTCAGCAAGCAGTTGGAACTTCTGGAAGTTCTTGTCACAGCTTAGTTAAAAGCAGAGGAGGTAAACAGCCTGGGGCCTCACTACTTGGGGCCTGTGGTGGGCTGAAATCCTGCCAGCGGGAGCAAGGGGAGGAGGCTGTTCACTTCATAGCAGACGGAAGCAAAAGGGTGGTGAGAATATGAACAGTTAGTACAGTTAGCCGTGCCATCCTGGCCCCAAGCTAAAAGGAAAGCCTGTGGTCATAGGTGTGCTTGGTTATTGCCTGTCTCGCACACTCATTT